CCCCAAAACCCCAAAACCCCAAAACCCCGAGATATAAAATTACGCCTAAATTTATCAATTATAAAGATAGATAAATAGATAAATTTTTATAGTTCACTACTATATTAATTATAGGATTTCGAGAATATATATTTAATAATGAATAATTAAAAGAGTTCACTTAAAAGCCATTTTCCCTTGATTTTTCAAAAAAGATTTAGAATTGCTAGTATCATGCTTTTGATTTTGTAGTAATCATATTGGAACTTTTTATTATCTTCCTTTAAATAGCATTCTCTTGACTATCCTACCAACTGGTGTAACTTCCTAAGTGTGTTTCAAAAATTATCAGAATGGCACTAAATCTCACATAAATTTTATTCTGGGAAACGCAATGACTGATAATTCTGAAATAACTGCTTTTGATACAAATGACAAAATTCTAATAGTAGCATTTCTAGATAAACTTAAAGAAAGTGAGAATGAAGTATATATCACGTCATACGACCTTTCAGTGAAAAGTACTTAATTGATTAAAAAGCAGATTGAAACCAAGTACGCGATATAATCAGTAAAAATTGAAACATAATTAGGCTTTGAGAAACTAATTGTTCTGGACAGTAATTGTACCTTACTTTACATAAATATGAATGATGGTTCATTAATGTAACAATACCAATTGTATTTTCAGCCCAATTCACAATTTTTTATGCTGTATGATAAAGAGGGGAAAGCTTATATAGCCTAAAGTGGCAATGATAGAAATTCATTCTTAATGATCCTTGATTTCAATTATCTATAATAGCAAATCTACTAGAAATAAATTATGAATAAAGAAGGATAAGTAGGTAACTAAATATAGAGCCTGATTTTTAGTAATGATGAAGAATACATTTACATGAGTACATATGCAACTTATATTATTAATCAGCCACTTTGGATTGTAGCTCCTTTTAGAATGGCTATTATTAGATTTAAAAGAACTGACTTATCAGACATAAAGGTATTTTAATAGACTAATTTGGGCTAAATCTATGAGAATAATATTCCTTTGATTCTACACTCTTTGAGCGCTACCTCTAAATATTGTATTGGCTTGGCTATTTATTCTGGCTATTAAAACAAGAGGATTGTTGGTCTTTCAGTACTGAATTTGACAACAGACACATTCACCATCTATTATTAGAGTTCATTTAAGTACTAAGAAATCTTCCCTTTGTAGTCAATTGTAATTAACTCAACTGCAAGATTTTTTGTAAGAATTCTGCCTGAAAATTAGTAGACTTATCTGCAATATATTTTTACTGTGGAAGATATCAATAGTCCAACCAAGATGATATTATAAATATTGCAAGATTATCCGTATAAACATACTTATTTCTTCTCAATACTAAATAAAACAAACAAACGATATTATATGCATGGGCTTGTATACTAAGAGTAGGGAATGTATCCTTAGGGATTTATCAACGAGTATGAAGTCGACCCATTTTGTGATTATCAATAGCCTATAAAAGATAGAAGTTAAAACATAAGCTTGTCTTATTTTCAAGATTTGCAACTTAAAACTGATTATGATCTTTACTATCGAATTTAAGTAAAAGGCTTACTCTAAAGTGAAGTCGAAATATTAGTACCATCATAATAGACAGCAAAATATTAATCAGCAACTTTTAAAAATGTTAACAATAATAATAAACCATGCTAACTAAAACCAAGTGCTGATGGATCAGGGCTTCACATAGAAACTCCACCATCTTTAAAAGATACAGTATTTTGTTATTCAGGAATACCATGCACAATAATTTTAGGAGCATATAAACTTAATTTAACTTGCAACAATGTTAACCCAACATTAGAGATGAATTTATTTAATAAAACAAAAAACATACTTTACATAAAGTTAAAATAGTTTAATTAACATAACATTTGATGATAGTTATTAGCATTAATAATCAAAGAATGGAACTGATCAGTCTTTCCAAAATATAGTATAACTGAGATCGTAAAATGATTTGATAATTAGTACTAGTTTTATTTTAATGATTAAAGTTTTTTATGCCTGTGAAATAGCGAATATATCAAGCAGCACGCTTTAGAATATGTATTTATAAAGAAGCAAAGGTTTAATCGATGCAGAGTTGAATTTATTTCAGTTCAAATATAACCATTAATGTTTCGACTACGAAATTGTTAGTGTTTATTAAGAAGGAAAAGAACTTATAGAATTAACAAATACCATATTTCAACAATGGGCACAGATCAAAAGTCCAAAGATAAACATTATATCTATTGATACATCTTCGAAATTACCTGCGCTTAGATACTTATTGAAAATAAGAGTTAATAAAAAGGATGACAAATCTGAAAAAGTAACACATTTTCCTGAACAACTCCTCAATATATACTTTGATCCAAGCAGAGTGGCTGATGCGCCACCTTATTTTATACAGTTTATTCCAAAAGTAATAACTGCTCCAGGAGAAGTATTGTCCATTTAGTTACCAACAATAACGGACAATCTGTTTGATAATTACACAGTTATTGTAGATTATGGAGCATCATTTTTGTTTATAAAACTAATCGACGGTGTAATCAGTATCGCACCATTATTAGAAAACATTGGAACTTACTAACTCAAGTTTACTCTATTGTAGCATTAAAAATATCCCTATCTTTCGAGAGTTTATACTATGGATGTAAGAGTTAAGGAGGTCTTGTCAAATTCTACAAATAATACTACTGAGTCAAGACCATCAGTTACAAATAATGCGAAAATAATATCTGTAAATGCTACAGGCTATGTAATGATTCGATTCAAGGATGAGCTAAAAAAGCCTGAAAATTTATCAGAAATAAGTTATTAAAGAATTAGAATTGAATTATTTAAAGAAGCTGAGGGCTCTAGTGAGCTTATTAATTACAAACTACTTGATATAGGTAGAGAAATAATGCTGATTAGACTTTATTTCAAGAATATTTCAGAAGTCTCTAAATTTTAAGTAATATTGGTGTTTTAATCTATATTAGGATTAAGACACTCTATATGTAAAATTTCAGGATATGTCTTTATTTTATGAGAAAAATACGAACAGATTTAAACCAAATTTTATAATGTAAAAGGGAGTCCCAAGTCAAATGACTGAAGGTAAACACCTAGTTAAGATTAAATTAATTCTTTAGAGCTTGCATTGTTTCTTTCTAAATATGGATATGGTTTCTAGATAACATCAAATACTGTTTTAGGTGCAAATCTCATTGCAACCCTTTTGATGTAATATTGAAGCAATTTAATTCTTAGAATAGATCTCAAACCTTGTAACATCTTTGGAGTGCAATAAACTCATTTTAGTTACTTTCACATTTGCCTATGATAAGTATAAACGCTCCAGCAAATGTCCAATTATTTTTCCAATATGTCCTAAATTTAGCAACCTTCAACATTTTTCCAACTGATGAATATTATAAGCAAATTCTCCAGATCTCAGATATGAATGACTATCCAATAAATGAATTTTTCTCTTAATATGGATATCAGTCAATGAACATAGTAATAAATCTTGGAACAATATTTATTTTCATTGTTATTAATGCTTCAATAGTTTTTGCTGTTTTACTTCTAAAGGTCATCAAGAAAGTTAGTTTAAAGTAAATTTTAAATATATTATTGTAATCCCTTTTCTATTTAGATTTGAAAGATTTTACAATTGGATTATCGGCAAATTATACATGAACTATTATATAAGATTCTTTATTGAGGCATATTTTGAATTAGCTTTGTGTGCAATGATTAATTTCCAAATAGTAATTTAAAAGAAACTAACTCTAAATTTATAGGATTAAAAACTTTCAACATCATTTGGCTAAAGGTTTGGACTTGTTCTATCAACACTAATCATGATAATAATTTTCCTATTTCCAATGCTAATTTTACTTTTAATGACGACGAATCAGTATCAACTTGAAACTCCAGAAAACACAAAGAAATATGGATCACTTTATGAGCTCTATAAAACTAATAGACTTTCAAGTACATTATATGTATTCAATTTCATAATAAGACGTTTCATTTTCTCTGCAGTTCTAGTAATATTCAATGAACACCCAGCATTTTAAATTTGCATACTTATGTCTTGTTCACTTTTTACAGTGGGATATCTAATAAATTACATGCCATTTAAAGAAAATCTTGATAATTATATTGAGATATTAAATGAAATATCTATTTTAATAAGCTTTTATGTGCTTATGAGCTATACAGATTTTGTCTATGATAGCCCTTAGACAAAGATATAACTGGGTTGGATTTTAATTTATATCTCTTGTGGATCATTTGGAATAAACATGCTGATTATATTATTGATGATCTTTGCTTCTTGGGCAAAACACTTCTCACTTTTTCTTTCTCGATTAAAAAGAAAAATTAATCACAAAATTTAAATGTTTAACGAACAGAGAGTGAATAATAGGATAAATCAACAAATGTTAGAGAGATCATACAAATATTTCAATTCCTTGACTGAAAAATCATAAGTATCTTAAGGCAGTAATCCTAATGACATCTCAACTAGTTAAAATCTAATGAATTGGAGAAACTTGGAAAGTAAATTAAATGACTCTGGAATATTTGTCTAGTCAGATATTAGTGCATCGCTCAGATCATCTTCTAGCGATTTAAAACCAAGAATAAATGGAATTAGATAGTTAAAAAACTTATTTGATTTAGACTAAGAGGTCTCCGCATACACCATTTAGGATTTACAATCTAATTAAATACCAGTTAAAATTAAAAATATTAAAATAAGATAAGAGATTAAAAAAGACATTTAAGATTTAAAAATTGAGTAAGTTCAATAAAGGCTGGCTTATAATTTCTCGATCTGATTGGAATTAGATTTTAGCATTATTCTATTTATACTTTGATATTAAAAATATTCAAACTTATCAAATATAATTGGCGTTAGGGGTTTTGGGGTTTTGGGG